AAAACTTATTCTTAAACCTATTGTTTTAAACGGTTTGTGTTTCGAATTCTAAAAGAGAAAGCGCGCGAAGAATACGTCGAGAGAGCGAAAGAGAGAAACCGAGTCGGATTGTTCTCGGTAAATTTGTAACGCTCGGCATTCCATTCCACCTTGTTTCAAAGCTAAAAGTTGTTTGTTGAACGGTAAAAGAATTCTTCCACGATACATACCGCGAAAATAGACCATCACTTTTCGTATAGGCAATATCCGTTCCGCGTAACAAGAAGCGATAGACAAATCCATTTCAACGGTTTCCGTTATAGATTCCGTTGTGCCACCTAATCCGATAACTTAAGTGAAATACGTGTGTCTTGTTAGTCACTAGGCACACATACGTATCTAACTGAGCGATAAGTTTTCGCGCACTTACAATTCCTTCTTTGTTATACGAAGAGAAAAAAAAAAAAAAAGTTAAAATTTACCAAATTGAAAAGAAATAATCGATGTTACGCGATCCGTTATATTGTATTTCGAATTTCTTTTATACTTGATCTGTATCTCGACGTGTTCTCGAACGACCTCGACCACGAGTCCGTTAATTTGGCAACCATGTATTATATATACGTTTCCCTTCGCGTTTCGTAAATGGACACGAAATGGCCGCCGTTTTTTCTCGCCGTTACACATTAAAGTTTCGCACCAAAACGTTTCACGCGATATGGCGTAGTATAAATTTCCATCGATAATTTTTTATTATCGTACATTTTATACATTTACGTATACAGATACCGAATATATACAGGGATCGAATTAACGGGGATACGTTTCCACGAAAAGCTCAAGAAACACGTTTGAGAGTTACAAAATGCTATTTGAAATAAACGGTTACGAAACAGAAAAGATTGGATGCGCGATTCTGCCAACGGAAGAACGATCGAGGCAAACCTCTCGAAGCGGAGGGAATCATCCATTGCTGGACAAACTTATTTGCAGGCACGATGGATGAGTATAGACGATAGCGACGAACCTGTCCATTAGTCCATTCTTCGGTAACAAGATCCTCGTATCCGGGACATCGATGTCCCGCGTACGTAAACGTAACTCATCCGTGCCTCATCGTTCCCGTTCGACAAATACAAACACGTACGAATAGGCCGAGAGAGAGAGAGAGAGAGATAACTACGCGAATATTCCATCGAAGAAAAAGAACGAGCAAACGTATAACGATAAAACGTGTCCAACTATATATAAATACATCGATAGAAATCGAGACAGAGGAGGAGACTGGTATCGATAATCTCGTAACTGGTCGATTTGCTAATATTATTAGTTGATAAATGGTGGTGAAAGAGAGAGCCTTGAAGTGATATTATCGTGAAAAGCTTGGGGGAGAGGGGAAACCGATGTTTTCGCATCATTGCACCCTCGAGAATATTCCCGTCCTATTCCACCAGCCTTATTAGAGTGAGAGAAGAAACGAGGGAACGGGACAGCGGATCGAGAGAGAGAGAGAGAGAGAGAGAGAAAGAGAAAAAGCGTTTTGCGTGGTGGACAGAAAAACGTGTGCCGAGCGAATCGTTGGATCGTTAACCTTTACGAGGAGAGTTACGAGTTGTTTAAATTCTTGCAAACGCGTATGCAATCGCGTATAAAATCGAAATTGTAAATTTTCCAATGTGTGTTCCTCTCCTGACGCGAGAGATAAGGCACAATAACGCGAGTGGTATTATCAACGATAATATCTATCTCCACCACTCGCGAATGCACGAGTTTTCGAAACGAGTGTGCGAAACGTTACGAGATAAATCTGTTTGTATACGCTCTCTTTTCGCATCGCGTAGTTGTGTGTGTGTGTGTGTGTGTGTGTATAGGGTTAAAATTAATGTCGGATAATCGATTCGTCGAGGACCACCGGTGCAAAACATCGATTGAATCTGTATTGACACGTGGACCGGTGTGTGTGGTTATCGATATGTCGATAATCTATATACCAGTGCTACGCGTATATCCATTCTAATTTATAACGCACAGCGTCTGGCTTGTTGCTTTATTCATCCAGCTTGGATTAATTCCGATAACACGCGACAAATATTTGATTTGATTCTCGCTCGAGAATGTGGAGGGGGGAAAAAAAGAAAGAAAGAAAGAAAGAAAGAAAGAAAGGCGAGAACAGCTCTTCAGATTGGATGTTTGCCGAGGGATAATCGGTGGAAGAGGAGCGATTATCGGACGGCGGAATTCGTACGATCGACCGAACGAACGATCAATTGAAACGACCGCTTTGCCTTTTGCGGCAAACACGGCAAGAAAATAATCTAAGTGGATAATCTGTATTGCTCACTCGAGGGAATGAATTTATTGCGGTTAAATGACGCTCGTTACCCGATTATACGTGAAACACTCGT